CTCTCTCTCTCTCTCTCTCTCTCTCTCTCTCTCTCTCTCTCTCTCACACACACACACACACACACACACACACACACACACACACAGAGCCAGATGTGATGGTATATACTTGTAATCCTAGTACTTGGGAGGTAGAGACAAGAGGATCAAGAGTTCAAAGCCCTCTTGTGGGGTAAATGAAACAACCTTACATACACATGTAAAGGAGTACATGGGAAGTGATTTTTTTGTTTGGGGCAGTCTCTATGCTCTAGCTTTGTAGTCTAGACTTGCCCCTGACTTTCAGTCCTCCTGCCTCAGCCTCCAAATGCTGACCTTACAGGTGTGTGACCATATAGCTCTTTATTTTCTTTCTTTATTTTTTTTTTAATTAATTGGTTTTATTTTGAGACAGAGTTTCTTTTAGCACAAACTGTCCTTGAATTCCTGATCTTGTTGCACCTCGCAAGCACTGGGATGGCAGGTGCGCACCAGCCAAGCCAGACGTCCTTTACTTTAGAATGGTGAGATGATACTAGAGTTCATTTAGAATCCCAAGAATAACCAGGAATAAAGCTTAATACAGTTCTGAAAGTGAAGATGAGCATTTGATTCTACCACATGTTAAGGCCTGTTTAAAACGAGGATAATTGATAGTTTGTTTCTAGGGGCCAACCAAGTGACTCTGTGGGTAAAGAAACTGGCTGCCAAACCTCACAACCTGAGTTCAGACCTGGGTCACCACACAGTGGAGGGAGAGAACTAACACCTGCAACAAGATGTCCTCTGACCTGCACACATGCACCCCCACACACACACACATGCATGCATAAATTATAAAAAATCTCTGAAGGTAGGTGCGTGTGTGTGTGTGTGTGTGTGTGTGTGTGTGTGTGTGTGTAGGTCAGTGGTCAATCTTTGTTAGTTAATTGTTCCTTAGTAGTTCTTTAGGTTTTTGAGGAAGGGTCTCACTAGGAACTGGGCTTGCCAGTTTGGCTAGGATGACTGGCCAGTGAGCCCAAGGGCTCTTCTCTTCTCTGCCTCCTCACTGCTAGGATTACAGGCTACACTATCAAAACCTAGCTTTTTACAGCCTAGCAGGAATCAGATAGTGTTTTACTGGCAAATCTCTCTCTCCCCCTCTCTCCTGTCCCTCCTTCTCCCCCCTCTTTCCATCTCCCTCTTCCTCTCCCTCCCTCCTCTCCTCCCCTCCTCAACACTAAAGATTAAAAAGTAGAAAAAGTGTAAGAAAGGAGGGAGGGAAAAAACTATCAAAGTTTTGAATAGAGCCTGGATGAAATTTGTAATTTCTGAGCAGTGACGAGCTAAGGAAGATCTAATGTCAGAAGCTACAAATGACTCATCTGTTTAATATACACAGAATTAATGAAATAAGAGAGACAGTAGGAAAATGGACAAAATTATAAACTTACTTGACAATGAACTCAGGGTGTAGCTCATTGGTAGAACATTTTTGCATTTGTAGCATCCCAGGTTGGATCCCCAGCACTGAGGGGAAGGTGGGGATGGAGGCAAGGGTTTAAAAAAATAAACCATAAGTCTTATTAAGTACAACACTAAGTAGAAAAATCTCTCCCTTCTTTTACCCTACGCTACTTGAAGTCATTTTGTCTTAAGAGTTTTACCTTTACAGTTTTATGTGATCAAGTACCAGGTGGTAGGGTGCTTAGTGTTTGAAATGTGTAACCTGATGACCGTGCACAGCTACTTTAGAAGGATAAAAGCTCATCCATAGTTGTGTTGAGACTGGATGTTGATTTATTTCAGGATTATACACATGAATTCCATAAAACCAAAGCAAACTTTATGGCGGTACGGGAAAGGGAGAATCTGATGGGATCAGTACGAAAAGACATTGAGTAAGTTATCTTTCCTCTTACCGTATAGAATGTTTATGTGGATTTAGGCTATATCTGTGGTTAATCACAAAGCAAGTAGCAAAACCAGGATTTAGGTTTCATGGTTTCTGATTTCCATTCCATTGTGTCCTTTGTGCCTTGTTACAATATGGGCTGAATCTACTTTGCCACCTCCCAGTCTTCCCTTGCCAACCTTGATCTTAAGTCCAGCTTGAATGATCCCTTCCTGCCCATGCCAGGAATGGCATGCTTGTCCGTTTCCCTGTCATTAGCTTCTCTGTTGCCCTAGCTTTCTATGTTCAGAAAGCTGTTAACATCCCTGAAACTCTGAAATGTGTTTGTATGTGAGCAAATGTTTCCAGGTTTAATAAAAGTCAAAGCCTTATATGAAACTAAGAACCTTTAGCATTTTACAATGATCTTGGTCTTTTCTCCCATACCTTCACATCATCTTCTTTTTGTAGGCATTGGTACAGTTCAGGATTTTTAAAACATTTGTTCTTAAAGGACAGTTGTGGTGGCACATGCCTTTAATCTCAGCACAGAGACAGAGACCAGCGGATCTCTGTAAGTTCAAGGCCAACCTGTTCCACAGAATGACTTCCAGGACAGCCAATGCTACATAGAGAGACCCTGCCTCCAAAAAAGAAAGGAAGGAAGGAAGGAAGGAAGGAAGGAAGGAAGGAAGGAAGGAAGGAAGGAAGGAAGGAAGGAAGGAAGGAAGGAAAAGGGAAAAAAAGAAACTAAGAAGGAAAAGGAAAAAAAAAAGAAATTTTTATTACTAGTGGAAAGCAGGAAAATAATAATATTGGTAGAAGTAAATGTCACTTTTGTAACTTTATTGTGCTGCCAATGAACATGGGAATTCTAAAGCATGCACAGCTGGGTTCCAGTGCTCCTTGGGCTTGGGTGGTGAGGGACTGACCCTGCTGTGAAGGATGACACTGTTTCAGTAGCTCTCTTGCCCAGGGTGCCGGGTGCTGATTAGTCTAAAGTTTTGCTTCTGCTGGAGAAAATAATGCATATCATACACAAAGGAAAAGTCGGATCCCCCTCAAGAAGAGTGGGTTGGTTTGAAAAACAGAAAACCCCGAAATCTAAACTGGAGAAACATGTATCTTTTACATATCTGCTAGTATTTTTCAAGAGAAATGGAAAACATTATATTCTGATTGTTAGAAATTACGGTCTAACTGGGGTTAGTTAGTCCCTTAACCTAATGGTACTGTATCTTCTAAAATGTTCTTGCCTTTTCTTGACATTGTTCTAGATCATATAAAAGTGGGTCTGGAGTAAACAACAGGAGAACTGAACTGTTTCTGAAAGAACATGACCACCTTCGAAAGTGAGTACTACCTGTTTTCTGTGCTTATAAAGACATTTTATTTATTATATTAATATAAGTATTAATATAATATTTATTATATTAATTTCCGTGCTCCGAGTGGGTTCAGTAGAAATGGGTGGCAGCTCATCAGCCTTAATTAAAAGATGCCCTTCGAGGATTTTACTCTGCTCTTCGCTGCCTACTGCTGTGCTGCTGTTATCCTTACTGCAAGTTATTAACGGTATCCATAATAATAGTACTGATAATTTATGTGGTCTCTTACCACTTTCTTATTGAAGAAGCTTTATAGAGAGTAGTAAGGCTAAATATCAAATGGAAAAAACAAACAAACAAAAAATTGTTTCCCAAGATTTCAGCAGAAAATGATTGGATGAAGGATATATGGCGTTGACAATAGCTCCTCTTCAGAGTTGGAACTTCACACCTAACTCCCCTGTCTGTGCTGGCATCTGGTCTGACTTGGGCTTGCATAGTCCTTGTGCATATGTCACAACTGGTGTGAGCTCCTGTGTGTGCTTCCCCTGCTGCATTCAGAAGACACCATTTCCTTGTCACTATCAACCAACTCTAGCTTTCACACTTTCTGCCGTCTTCCACAGTGGAAGAGGGGTGTAGCATATATAATCCCTTTGGAGCTGAAAACTCTTATTCTCTGCATCTTGGCCAGTTTTGGGTCTGTTTTAATCATCACCTACTGCAAGCAGAAACTTTTTTGAGGACTGAGGGGTGCCTTAATCCATGGATATAGCCATGTCATTAGGAGTTGCTTTAATATTATTAAGTCCTTTTGTCAGAATAATAGTAGCAAATTCTCTCCTATAGCCTCTGATCTATCTAGCCATAAGTACTTAGCCTCATAATGGTGGCTGGTACAGATTTCATCCAGTTGAGTGGGCCTTAAATCCACTCAGAAAGTAGATGGTTACTCCTGTGGTGTTCATGCCACTGTTGCACCAGTGGCCATGTCTTGCTGGGCCAGTCATTATTGTGGCTTGCAGGCTTCACAGCTGGATATGATTAATGCTTTCTTTCTCTTCCAGTAGAGAGGGATTCTTCTGCTTGTTGGGCAAGCATACTGTCACTTAGTACACCCCAGCCCTGTGACTGTGTGTGTGTGTATACACTATAATACCTATATTTCCTGTTGTAATAAGTATAATGAGATCTGTATGGGAGATTGAAATGTGTGGATTATAAATTTGAGGCAAGACTGAACAACATATTGAGACTTTGTCCTAAAATAGAAGCAGGGCTGGAGAAATGGCTCAGTGGATAAAGGTACTTGCCTGATGACATGAGATCGGTCCAAAGACCTGCATGGTGGAGGGAAAGAATCAACTCATATAAGCTGTCCTCTGACCTCTGCTTGTATGCTGTGACACCTGTGTACACACACTCACACACACACACACACGTACACATGGATGCACACAGGATAAATAAAAATGTAATTTTATGTGTGTGACTGTTTTGCCTCCATGTATGTGTACTGCATGCACGCCTGGTGCCCAGAGAGGCCAGAAGAGGGTGCTAGACCTGTGAACTTGTAGTGAAAGTGTTGAAATAGGAGAGGCGGGGCTGCATCCCCAACACCCCAGCCGCTTGGCTAGCTCATGCCCGAAATAACAACACACAAACTGTATTCATTTAAAAACTGCTTGGCCCATGAACTCTAGCCCTTACAGGCTAATTCTCGCACCTGGACTAGCCCATTTCTAATCATCTGTGTAAGCACCCCAAGGTGCGCTTACCGGGAAGATTCTAGCTTCCGTCCATGCTGTTCGGGAGCAGAGCAGAGTCTGACCTCACTTCCTCTTCCGCCCAGCATCCTATTCTGTTTATTCCTCCTACCTATGCTTTAACCTATCAGGGCCAGCCAAGCAGTTTCTTTATTGCTCAGCCAATGAAATCAACAGATTGATATGACACTCCCACATCGTGAAAGGTTGTAAGACACCATGTGAGGACTGGGAACTGAACTCGAGTCCTCTGTAAGGGTATCAGTTACTTTTAACTGCTGAGCCCTCTCCATCCCCTAATTATTATTATTTTTAAAAATAATATGTAAAGATTTATTTATATATGGTGCTCTATCTGCATATACACCTGCATGCCAGAAGAGGGCATCAGATCCCTTTACAGATAGCTGTGAGCCACCATGTGGTTGCTGGGAATTGAACTCAGGACCTCTGGAAGAGCAGTCAGTGCTCTTAACTGCTGAACCATCTCTCCAGCGCCATCCCCAACCCCTAATTTAAAAAAAAAAAGAGAGAGAGAGAGAGAGATAAGATGGTTGGAGACTCCACAAATACTGTTTCTCCTCAAAATGTTGTCAATAAGTTTAGCATTCATGTCTAAGCTTACTCAGACTGCAACAATCTCTTGGTGGTTTGGTTTCATCAGTCCTTCTTACATTGATTTTAGATCTGTAAGAAAGAGCTGTCTCTTTGTATGTTTTATTCTCTTCCTCAACATGGACTCAGATGCAAGTAGGGGTTTATCTAGGACTGTAGTTCCCTTGTTGCTCACATCACTGTACCTCATTGGGGTTAGCATCTGTCATGATGCTTTCCTGAGCTTGGTCATTTTACTAAGCAGCCTCAGTTTCTCTTATTAGCAAGTGTTACTCAGGAACTTAGATCCAAGCGTAAGGAAGGGTTCAGAAGGGTTCATTGTTGTTTTATTGCCATTGAGGTGATTGTTTCCAGGCTTCTTCTTGATAATAGTTTTTATCATTAATGGGGTTCAGTTTTTTAATTAATTAGTTAACTATTGAGGGGAATAATTGTTTCTCCTTAATTATTGTAATATGATGAATTACATTATTTTCAAACATTAAGCCAATATTGAATTCCTGGAATCCCACTTGATCACGAAATATTTCTTTTCTGTAACTGCTAGACTTATTTTAAGGAATTTTGCATTATTCTAATTAAATATAATCTAGTTTTCTATTCTGGAAATGTCATTGTGTGGTTTTTATCACGAATAATGTTGTCCCTTTTAAGTGACTTGGGATGTACCCCCTTCCTGTTTTCTGAAAGAGCATATTGTTTCCTTCTTTGGTATGTAGGGCTTACCAGTGAGTGCGTCTAGCGCAGGGGTTCCTTTGTGGTAAGGTTTTCCAGTTTTAAATTGTGTGGATATTTGTAGACAAAGGGCAAGCAGTCTGAATGTCCCTGGGCCAGTAGGTGGCTCACTATAATCAGCTCAACGAGAGGCATAAATCACTCTTGCTGCCAGAGGAGTTGGAAAACTACCAGAGAGAATGTGGTGTTCTCAGGGCCTCAGTGAAGTTCTTACCCACTGTTAGCATCCTTTGGACTTTCTGCTGTCTGCTAGACTACAGACTGTAAACAGATGGAGTGTGCTTAAGAAGGCCTTTTCACCTCATCCACTTACTGAAGGAAGTTTTACTTTAATATTTCCTTCCTCCTCCGTTTCCTCAGGTGAATTAGCTTTTCCTAGGTCTGTAGTGCCCTCCATGTGGGGTCACCTTTCCTAACTGTCTTCACTCTGTTGCTTCATCGAATCACTGCTCCCTTGCAGCTGGCACCTGACGCACGGGCCTGTCTCCTTTCCCAGATACCAAGGCATCTTCCTGTCTTCTTTGTGCCTTTGCTTTGTTTATCCACTTGTTTTCTTACTCTTCCAGAGAGCTTGTTTTTGACAAGTTTAGGTTCTGTGCTTGCCTGTCCTTTCTAGGAAGCTATTCCTACTCATTAACTCAGCCAGCCTCCCCTTGCTATGGCTTAGTAAAGCTTCTTTCTTGTTTCCCTTGAAGCATTTATGACAATGTCTAATGGTTTGTTCTGTCTATCTTTTCCCTATCGGACCCTCCTTGAGTATAAATTTCATAAGGCAAAACTTAGCCTGCTGTTAGCATGTTTGGTTCTCCGGCCTCTATTGTGCTTGTTAATTTTTAACACCTGCTTCTATGAGTTGGTTCTCAGCAAGGCTGTTCGTTCTGTTTTCTTTTTTATTTATTTATTTTTTAATTTATTAAAGATTTCTGTCTCTTCCCTCGTTCTGTTTTCTTAATGTATAATGTAATGTGAATATATACCATACCCTAGTGTGGAAGACTTACTTTATTCATTCAGTTATTCTCTAAATATTTATTGAATACTTACTATACACACTCAAATATTAAATTAATTTTAAGAACTATAGGGAATATTAATGTAACCGGTTATGTTTTGCTTTGTAGAATGGATTCCTTGTACAATCCTTTTGAAATGTTCAATTCTGGGACTGGAGTGATAGCTTATGGTTAAGGTACTTTCTGCACAACCGTGAAGACCTAGATTTAGTCCCTTACACATCTGAGTCAGATGTGGTCCCAAGGTTCAGTGACCCAGCACTGGAGCATGCAGCCAGGGTCACTGTGGCTTGCTGACACCAGCCTAGCTGGGAAACATGAGCCCATGTTCAGGGAGAGACCCTACCTCAAAGGAACAGGCAGAGAGGGCTAGAAGGAGGACACCTGATACCCTCCCTTGCTTCACGAGTCCACTGACACGTGTGCCTGCACACACGAGTCATATACCACACACAAAGAGAGAGAAAAGTGTGAAATTTAAATTCTTGAGTAAGTCTCTCAGAAACCTCCCTCTGTACAGAGGAAGAAACAAGACTCGGAGAGAATATAGGTCGAGGTCTCATCACTGTTTAATAGTACAGCTTTACTCAACACACATTTCCCATGTTTGCTGTTTGTCCCACGCCTCATTGCCTTTCTTTCCTGTGAGTGTTTCTTTAAATTTTTATATTGTTATAACAAGGAACCGTTGTGGCCTGATTTTATAGAGAACTGAAAGACCAGTTACTCTGAAAGCACATTGCTTGACTTCTCTTCAGTTTTTCACTTTTAAAATCGAATGAGACAGGTACTGCTCCTGTGGAGTCTTTTCATCATTCTTTTGCTTGGTGTTTCTCTTTTCGTGCATCTTAATAGTCCTTTTCATTTGTATTTTCTCAGCATGGCGCTGCTTATGGTAGAGCTTAGCCTTCAGGCCAATCATTTTCTTTGCCTTCTTTGAACGTTCATGGGCCTCCCGACTTTCTTTCTTTCTCTTTTTCTCATGGTAATCCAAACAATATCCATAGCGTTTGCGGTGTAATTCAATATGCTCATTTTGTGGCATGATGACAGCTGCGGAACAGCCGTCCGCCACCTCCCGACTGCGGAAACCCTCTTCTGCCTACCTGCTGGACAGAGAGGGCAATCTAGAGCAAAAGTGCTTTCCAACATGATTGAGCAGAAACGAAAAGAGAAGGCGGGAAAATGGGAAGTCCCTCTACCCAAAGTTCGTGCCCAAGGAGAAACAGAAGTATTGAAAGTAATTCGAACAGGAAAAAGAAAAAAGAAGGCATGGAAGAGGATGGTTACTAAAGTCTGCTTTGTTGGTGATGGTTTTACAAGAAAACCACCTAAATATGAAAGGTTTATCAGGCCAATGGGTCTGCGTTTCAAAAAAGCTCACGTCACACATCCTGAACTGAAAGCTACCTTTTGCTTGCCAATACTTGGTGTGAAAAAGAATCCATCATCCCCATTATATACAACTCCGGGTGTAATCACCAAAGGGACAGTCATTGAAGTGAACGTGAGTGAGCTGGGCCTTGTGACACAAGGAGGCAAGGTTATTTGGGGAAAGTATGCCCAAGTTACCAACAATCCTGAGAACGATGGGTGCATAAATGCAGTCTTGCTGGTTTGATAGTGACTTCTACTGAAATCTACGCACCATTAGGAAAACACCATCACTGTGATCTGGCTGAATACTACCAAGGTGCCTACCCATGAGCAGTCATCGAGGAATATTTATTAAATTGTAAATAAAAAATAAAAACTGCAAAAAAAAAAATCGAATGAGAGCTATGTTACATAAAGATGGATGCCATTAAAGTTAAGTCATTTTATAAAGTTAAATGCATTCTGGAGAGACTGCTCAGAGGTTAAGAGCACTGGTTGCTTTTCCAGAGGTCCTGAGTTCAATTCTCAGCAACCACATGGTGGCTCACAACCATCTATAGTAAGATCTGGTGCCCTCTTCTGCAGGCATACATACAAACAGAACACTGTATACATAATAAATAAATTAAATAAATAGATAAATCTTTTTTAAAGCATTCTAAAATTCCAAAGAATTTATCTCCAGTAACTTTTCAGATATAGTGCCGTTATACAAAGCATGTCATACTTAAATAAGATTGATCACAGTATTTAGTTGATAACTTTCATTTGCTTTCATTTTTTACCAACTCAGCAGTGAAAATATACACATTATCCATTACCTTAGGTCTAACCATGTCTGTGAGTGAAGAAATAATTATTTTATTGCCTTTTAACTGTTGATTGCTTTCCATATGACATTATTCAGTTATGTTTAGGGTTTTGGTATTGTTAATTTCATTTTAAATTTTACCAACCATGTCATTTGTATACTCTAAAGTTTTTTGCAGAAATATTTTAGGTAGGCTCAATTTGTTTTGAGACAGGGTCTTGTATATCCTAGGCCAGCCTCGAACCCACTCTGTAGTCAAAGACCTTGAACTTGTGCTTCTCCTGCCTATACTTAGTGCTGATTGCAGGTGTGTGCTTCCATGCCCAGCTTATGTAATATGGGGGGTTGAACTCAGAGCTTCATGCATGCTTGGCAAGCACTCTACTAACCTAGTTATAGCCACAGTAGACTTTTTTTTTTCTTTCTTTTTTGAGACATGATCTCACTGGGTAGTTAGTACTGGCTGGTCTGGAACTCACAGAGATTTGAGCCCAGGTCCTCTGATTTGATGTTCCTGTGCTGCTCCTCAAAGTAATGTGGATGGCATAGACTGCACAGGGTCGCTAAGATAATGCATGCCGAGACTTTGCCAGTCCTTCCTGCATACAGTACATGTGCAAGATTAACAGACGTACAGATAGCTCAAACATTGAAATTGAAGGCTAAGCTCACAACCAAAAAGACAAGAAAAGTAAATACCAAAAGAGAAAGAGACTACACTAAACAACCTTTTTTTGTCTTTTTATTTATTTATTTATTAAAGATTTCTGTCTCCTCCCCGCCACTGCCTCCCATTCCCTCCCCCTCCTCCAATCAACTCCCCCTCCCTCATCAGCCCGAAGAGCAGTCACTAAACAACCTTTTTTATATGTGTGTGTTTAGGGGTCTGGAGAGATGGCTTAGCAGTTTAGAGTACATGCTGCTCTTGCAGAAGTCTGGAATTTCATTTCCCAATCACTCATATTAGGCGGTTCACAACTGCCAGTAACCCTAACTACAAGAGAACCAATGCCTCTGGCTTTCACAGAAATCTGCATTCAGGAACATGCATATGCACACATAATTAGCATAATTAAAAATAATAAAAATAAGTCTCTAAAATTTTTCTACATGGTTGCATTTTAGGTTGTTTAATAAGTATCATAGAATTCAAGTTATATAATTGTCAGCTATTACATCAATGAGTGAAGTAATGTAGATTCCTGGTATTTAAGGATCTGACCTTAGCTTTCTGGAGTGTTTATGAACTCCCATTAACTCATGTAGTTTTGTTGAAAGACTTGAGTGTTACTGAGTGTTACATGCTGTGGGGTTGTTGGCAGGGAAGCCTGGCTGACTGGTTAATAGTCACACTCACTGGACAGCAGGCTTACACATCAGCCTTGCTCCTAAGTTCATATTTGCTGCTTGTTGTTATTCACGTGTAGCTACAAGGAGGCAATTTATGTGCATGCATGCATGTTCTTTGGATTTGTGTATGCATGTGTGAAATGTTACTCCAAGGAGAAAACACCAGAAAGAAATGTTTACAAAGCATTATTTGATTAAAAAAAAAAAAAAAGGTGTTTATCATTGCTATGACCACAAGCCGGACAGATAAAACTAAAAAGAAATAAAAACTTTAGTTTGGCTCCTGATTTCAGAGTCAATCAATGTTACAAGAAGGACATGATTATATTTAAAGTCTTCCTCAGACAGCAGTGTTCTGAAGTGAAAATCTGGGAAGTACATTGAAGAAATTCTAAAGAATCTCTGAGCTGTGCCAGGGTCATGTACGTAGTAGAGAATTGGAATTTTAGCTTATGAGAACTGGTGGCATTTGTCTCATTATGTCTTTCATTCCATTCATGGGATAGCTCAAGGTTCCGTTACAGATTTGTCCCAAGTGATCCAGTTACCTACAATACTGAAATAAATGACAAAGCAGAATGATCTGATTAGCCAAGATGACCTTGAACTTCTGATCCACTTGCCTCCACCACCCAAGAACTATGGCAAACTATAGGTTTGCCCCACAGCTGGTTCACAGTTAGAATCCTCCTGCCTCCACTTCCCAAGAGCTGTAGGCACACTGTAGTTTGCCCATAGCTGGCTCACAGTTAGGAGCTATGTTACACACGCTCGTTTTTCTTTATTTTGAACTTGTTAGATGAGTAGTGAAATCAAATCTGCTTTCAGTTGGCACATGATTTTCTTCCTTTTTATTTTTGGCACACAACTTTCTTAAACAAGCCTTCAAATGGAGGAACTTTGTCACGAGGGATTATAAAATTGTGGTTATAAAAATGTGTGTGTGTATCCTTCTGCAGAAAACTTATAAGGATTATAAGGATTATTTCATTGCTAATCCTGATTGATATTTTATTAGTACAAGAAGTGTCTGTTACTCGTTATTCATTCATTTATTAAGCATTTAATGAGCATCTCCTGTGTGCTAGGTACTGTACTAGACTCTGGGGAGTCAAAGATGCATCAGACTTAGTCCCTACCCCTGGGAACTCACACTGCTTAGAGAAGTAGTAAACAACACATCAGTGTGATATCCTGAGAGAGTGGGTTTTCAAGGTCTTACGTGAGAATTGATGTGAAAACCTTTTCTTTCTCTGTCGCACAATATCTGAGGTACATTATATTCCTGAATGAGTTGATGGGAGGGCATACTGTTATAATGTAAAGAAGAATTGATTTTGCCTGTATACACTGGTGTGTCTGGGGAAGCTTCAGAAGGATACAGCTTTCGGGCTAGACTTTGAGATGTGTAAGTTGTTTATGTTAAGCACGAGGGATTCGAGAGAGGCTGTGACTTAGAGTTCTTGCTGTTCTTTAGACCTGTGAAAGGAGACCCTAAACCAAAGAGCTGCTCAGGGACGTCAGAATGCTCAGTGGAGATCAAGCATACCTTAGGTTCATGCCTTTGCCAGCAGCTTGTACATAGATTATTGCTTGTGAGCTTTATGGTAGGAAAATTCCATGAGATCGGTTCGAACAGCTACATGCTTGAACCATGACCGTAATGTAGGTTGAGCAGAAAAAAAAAAAATGTATTTCTGGTTAGCTCTTACTCTCTATATAAGAGGATTCAGAAACCAATTACAAAGTGCTATTTAATAGAATGTTGTGATTCATTTGGTTTTCTAGGTTCCCAGTCCTGTTTGTTTGTTTGTTTGTTTGTTTGTTTGTTTGTTTGTTGGAGACAAGGTCTCTGGTAAGCCAAGTTGGTCTAGAACTCTTTCTGTAGCTGAGGATAACCATCAGCTTCCAATCCTCCTGCCTCTACTTTCCAAGTGTTGGAGTTCCAGGCATGTGCCACTGCACCCAGTCTATACACCCTGAGTTACAATCCCGGCCCTCCAGACCTTTAAAACACAGTCATATAACAGAGCATTTCATTTCTGCTACAGTTAAACACACCTGCTTCTAAACACTCTAACTTCTCCATTTTACTTACTAAAATGTTTGATCAAATTAATTTGAAGTAAGCCAGGCATGGTGGCACACGCCTATAATCCCAGCACTCAGGAGGCAGGGGCAGGTGGATCTCTGAGTTTGAGGCCAACCTGGTCTTTGTAGTGACATCCAGGACATCTGGCTTTTAGTCACTATCTTTGTTACTTTTTAAATTTTTAATTGTATGACTTATGCAAGGTTTTTATGGCATCCTATGGAACTCATCTTTATCGAACTTCATGTCAGTGTTCTGTTTTATAGAGTGAACAGAGTCACTCTTTTGGAAGGAAGTAGCTGGGGAGAAGCAAGTGTTTATTTCTGTGCTAGAACATGCCTTACACCTCCACACACGCTGAACTCTGGAAATTTGTTCTGTGCCTTCTGATGTTAAGCTTGGTAAAGGCCCATTACTAAGCCTCTAGCTTCTCTCCTGTGCGTTCCTCCTGGGTTGTCTCGTTCTTCCATGGTGTGAAGTGTTGGGCTTGTTTGTTCCTTATTCACTCTCTTGGACTCTAAAGTTTCAGGAGCTGAGATTTGGTTTAGTTGTGTTTGTTCGTTCGTTTGTTTCAAAATAAAACTATTTCCCCCAAAAGGAAGGAGCTATGAGGTCTGAATACTGCTGCTTAGAGGCCTAGAGCTGCATTCATCTCCTCGGCTTAAGAAGTGGCTGTAATCCTTACCTTTTGAATGGATAGTAGTGACAGCTTTGAGTTATCTGGGCTGAAGAACTTTCACTTTTTAATGCTGTCGTTAAAACTAGCCAGAATTTAATAATTAGGAATGTCATGAAAAAACCAGACGATTTAAGTAGACAGGTAAGAGCAAAATGTAAATTACTTCACATGTGGCTGAATTAATTTCAAAGTTCAGGATTTTCTCTAGATGCACAAAAAAACAGATCTTCATTATTCTGTATATAGAAAAGGCTGTAAAGTTTATAAACAAAAAATAAAAAATGTTTTAAGTATATGTTTAATAATTCCAAATTTTGAATTTTCTTTCTTTTTTTCAGCTCTGATCGTCTGATAGAAGAAACAATAAGGTAGGGATGGTTTTTGTTTTACTTCATTGCTGTTTGTTTGCACACTTAATTAACAGATCAAGTCAATGCTGTTCACTAGAGTAAAGGTCAAGTCATGCACCTTAAGAGATGAAAATTTCACTAGATGGTAATGCATCTCTGCTGTGGCCTTCCTTTATAAGGGACATTTAATCTTAGTAACTGGTTCATGAGATAGACATTGACCAGTAGATTCCATCTCCAGAACGAAAAGAAATCAAGGCTGTGCCTGTGGTCACATGACTATAAGTAATACTGAGGACTCAGATCCCCAGATCAGAATCTTCTTTATAGCTCTAGAGCCACAGCATTTATACTAAACCAGTGTCTGAGACAATGAGGTGGCTCAGAGGATACAGGTGCCTGCCACCAAATCTGATGACTGGACCGTGGGGCCTGCGGTGGAAGAAGAGAACCAGCTCCTGACAGTATTCCTCTAACCTGCGTGCACAGGTGGCACAGAAACACTCACGTGTACACATGATATGTGCAGACACAGACACACACATATACACAAGGTAAATTAATGTTTAATATGTAAGTATGCTTAGTTTATGGTACTGGTAAGAAATCTGAAGTTCCAGTAAGCATATGAATGATTTATTGTTTTTAAAACATTATATATTATATGAAGCTTATGTTTTTGACTCTAAGTATTTGACACTTGAAATAATAGCCTTCATTTCACTCAACTCAGCTCCAGATGATGGGATGATTTGGGAAAATATGTCTAGATAGACTTTATGTGGTACTGGAAATCATGCATATTCAACAAGGTAATAATTTAATGTAATATCCATTCTCCAAGGAATACAAAGTGCTTTGTGGAAATTATTTTTTAATGTCTATCCACTTGTGAGTCAGAGTGCACATGAGATAATGGTAGCCCCCCTTTAAAAACAGAGGCCTGTGTATTTCAGACTGTCCTCCTTACTCAGCATGGGTTTGAATTCGGTTACTTTCTGTAAGACCACAAAGCTAGTTAAAGTAGGAGTGCTTTATTCAAGTCCCTTGTTGTAATTTCAAGCAGAAGTTGGTCATTTTCTGATGCTTCTGCTGCTTTCATGTCTTCCTGATACTTTCAAAGGCTCCTCTGAGCCAAATGACACATGCCTCTAATCTCAGCTCCTAAATGATGGCCTGGATTCTAGGATCTTCATGACATGGCCTGGCCTTCATCACGCTCCTGGAACTGGCCATTTACAAGACCACCAGTGTGGAGTTTGTGTGCTTTAGAGACAACTTGCCCATAGCCTTCCTTGGCCAGAGCCCCACAGCTAGCTTTCTGGGTTGTGGCAGCATTGGAAAAAATAGTCAATTCTTCTGCCTCTTTTGACATATGGCCTGTTTGACTGTCAGTAACTCTCATTCCCCTTCCTAGCTTCAGTGACCATCTCTTGACCAGCTCTTTGGACAACTACTCCCTGATTTTTCCAAATAGCCTGTCCCAAACTGAGCTCATCCTATGCCTTTCTGATTTTGTTCTTTGAGGTCACTGGCTTTGTAGGGTGCTTCTAATATTTTTGTTGCCTCCCCCACACACACTATTACAAAATGCTTCAATAAATATTCTTCTAGGTGTCTCCTTACATATTCCTTGTCTTCTCAGTCATGAAGTTACAATGTTGGTTAGTTTGTCATCCCTCTAGCGGCTCCCTTCATTGGACCTCCTGGTGGTTTGTTCCGTGAGGCTGCCCACGAAGGGCCAGCAGTTTACCAGCAATGGGTGGCCCCTTGACTTGTCCCCTTCAAGAGCTGAGCATCTCACTAGTAGCCTCTAAGTCTCTCTGCAAGTACAGGAGCCAAGGGGAATTGAGCCCATTACTTCCAGCCTCGGGACACCTTATATGATAGGATAAAAGGGTAGAACCTACTTTGAAAAGAAAAAAAGGATGCCATAGATACGATAAAAAGGTGTAGATTATTGAAACACTGCTACAGACACATGGCTCACAGGTTCCTACTGTCAGATTCCCTGTATTTCTTGTGGGTCTCTTACTTAAGTAGGTATATGTAGCCCCTCCAGCCAACTGTCTTACTTAGAGCCTGCAAGGGAACCAGGGCTTCAGATGGTCCTTCCCGAGCGTGAGTGTTTTTTATCCGTGGAGATGGGTCAAAGCTAAGTCAGGAAATTGGATCTAGCTACTATTTTTCCCCAATTTCTGTTACTGATATCTGGGGCAATAAGACTTGAAAATACATGATCATGGAAGTGACAGCAAAAAGAGTGTTATCTCCGATTCTCAACAGGATCTCAGAGTGGTCTCATGAAGAGGCTGCATTCTATGAAAAAGCGACATTACCCCTTTCCCAGTTACATTTAGTGAGTCCCAGATCTGCCTCCTGATTCCCTAGAATTTCGAAACCTTGTTTGTTTATATGTTAAGAGCTGATTGAATGTGGATATATGCTTGGACACTTTTTATGGTTATGATTCTTTTCTTCTTCGCAGTTTTTCCTGATTAAAGTTGTTTTAATAATTGGACCTTCTTTAAGCCATTAGAAGCAGCTTTGTAATGTATGAATTGTCTCATAGCATCTTATTTCATTAGTTACTTCGAAGAAAACACAAGATGACTCATAACAAAGACTTTGATGGTTAACAGCGGGTTAAGTGAGAAAAAGACAGTGGGAAGTTTGCCAGGCAGTGATTTGTACCCATTTCCTGCCTGGTCATTCCAGGATTGTTTGCTCACTGTGCTTTTAGAGATGTGATGGATTGAGCAAGGTAATTAATTCTCCATCGCCAACCCAGTTGTTTCTTTTCCTCCCCTCTTGAAGCATTGCTATGGCTACGAAAGAAAATATGACTTCTCAGAGAGGAATGCTCAAGTCTATTCACAGCAAAATGAACACTTTGGCCAGTATCCTTTTTGAAATCTGTTGGTGGGGTAAAAGTCCCTCTCCCCTCCCCCATTATATAGGGATAGAGAAGCAGGTCACCAGCATTGGTAGCTGTAGAGCTCCTTAGCAACCACATCATGTGAGGGCTTCCTGCTTTGTGGAAACTTAGGTTTAGCACCATTTCTAGGGGACAGCACTCTGGAGGGTTAATACTAAAGATTTAGATTTGTAAAATTATTCACAGTATTTTTCTATCCTTAAAAGCTCTGGATCCAAGTTAGTACTCCCTGCTTGTGTTCTTAACCACCCAACACTGTGTCTGTGTTTTCTGATTTGTCACAGTGGAGGACAAGTCAGTCGCAGGAAGGGAGGGGACACTGTGCAGGTGTGTGTAACTGCGGTAGAATATGGTGACCGCACAAGCCCAGGTTCAGAGTAGTCTCTGCTTGTTAGTTTTTTGTTTTTGTTTTGTTTTGTTTTGTTTTGGATTTTCGAGACAGGGTTTCTCTGTAGTTTTTGGTGCCTGTCCTGGAACTAGCTCTTGTAGACCAGGCTGGCTTCGAACTTACAGAGACCTGCCTGCCTTGCTTCTCGAGTGCTGGGATTAAAGGAGTGTGCCACCACCACCCAGCATCAGTTTTTAAATGTTTAGCTTCCCAACTCAAAATAGGATTGCTTCAAAGAAGTTGGGGGGATGTCCCAAGTGGATGTAGGAAGGACCTAAGATTTTTCAAAAGTTGGCTATCATCTGGCCAACAGTAATTAAGGATACTTTTATCCTGATAATCTATTTTCCCCACATCACCCCCCATAAAAGGATATACCTGGCATTGCTTGGCATTTTCCAGTCCTTTATCAATTTTCTGTTAGTCTAGTATAAAAACCACAATCCCAAACCACTCAGGTTCATATAGTGCTGCACAGTTTATACAGTGCTGTTCTGTGACATCGCGTTTTGTGAGTCCCATAAAAGGAAAAAAACAGGAACTTATTGACTTTGCAGAACTATTTTAAATTTCCATGCTTTTTCTTTCTTTGTGGGTATATGTGCATGCATTCATTGCATATTTCTGTGGTACACATGTGTCCCCATCTTTTACCTAGACTGAGACAGGGTTTCTTGTATGAAGCTATATCCTTCCAGCAAGCTGACTCTTAAGCTTCTAGGGATTCTCTTGTCTCTACCTCCCATCTTCCCACATTTTATGTGAGTCCTGGGGATTCACACTCAGTTCCTCGTGCTTGTACAGCAAGCGCTTTTGTTCCCTGAGTCATCTCCTCAGCCCCCAGTGCATTTTTCATGCATTTCCATGAAATCAGATCATACCATAATGTCCCTTCCCTCAGGTGATGTTTCTCTCTGTTACCCAGTGTGAACTTGCATCTCCAGGACTCACATAAAAGCTGAAGACATAGTGAGTCATTCCGGGGTGATGCAACACACTCATTTACTCACCCCATATATGGCCACTCTAGACCAAAGTATAGATACCACCAAAGTGCAACTTGGTGAGCCAGTGACTTATGTTGTTGTCATTTATAGGAATATGGATGCACGGTTACTTACGGTAGAAGTGACTCACAGACAGCTGCATTACCAGGGCCCACCCCAGTAGGGGTGACAGCTCACAAAAGCTGGGAAACTTAGAGCACACTGCACAGCCTACAGGCAGCTCACAGGTTGGAGAGTGTCCTTTCCAAGTGGCTTTGGTCTAAACCTCGTATAGGTAGCTAATCTGTTTTAAGAGTCATTTCATGTTAGCTCTGCTTACTCTGGCAGGGAGGGGTCTAGTGAATCTGGTCAGTTTCAGGGACTTCCTAAAGCTATTTTGAGTTGTCTACCTTCTGGTTTAAGGAGCTTCCCTATATGATGGAATGTTTCAATCTCACAGGAAACTGTTACACAACATCCAGGCTAGTAAGAACTCCTAGACTCTGGTACTCCATCCTCAGCCCCAGAAGAATGAGAAACACTGTATTTATTATATGTTAGTAGCAAGAGCAGAGACAGCTTAGTAAATGTAAAAGGTTTTGTATTTTGTATGACCACTGAAAATAAGCCCAAGTCCATAGCAGGCAATATTCTTGGCTTGGATACTATTCCTTTAGGACTTGGGGCTTAGAGGACACATACATTTAGAGAGAAGGCACAAAACAGAGGTAACAAATTTGAATGGAAAACTCAGTTTCAACTAGTATGTAAAGTAACCCAGCTATCCAGCTGCCACTTCAATTTTTTATTTTAAGTTTTGAGAGAGGGTTTTACTGTGTAGCCCTGGCTGGCCTTAAACTTAAGAGATCTGTCTGCCTCTTCTTCCCAAATACTGGGCTTAAAAAGAAATTGTGCTACCACACACCTGGTTTCTATTTTATTTTCAGTGTGTGCTCTCTCCTGTCACAGATCTCTTCTTTCTCTGTATTAGCCTGCCTCTCCCCTTATGACAGATGACTACAACACAGCTCAAAGGCCGTAGGAAAAGAACAAACTTGCTAACAGCTGTCACCGTATCCCCTAGCCTAAACCAGTGCCCATTCAGAGCTAAGCTGTTGCCAAGGGAAGGACTGTTTACTACCTGAGTATAGATGCTTCTCCCTGCAGAGCTTGAGAGGAGCAGGCAGTGGTGATGCATGCCTTTAATCCCACCACCTGAGAGACAGGTGGATATCTGAGTTCAAAGCCAGCCTGGTCTACAAAGCAAGTTCCAGGACAGCCGTAGGACTGCTGCACCAAGAAACCCCGTCTCAAAAAAAGAAACGAGAGGAATAGTTCCCAGAGATAAACTAAAAAAGAGTGTATTCACCACAGTCAAGGTTTTCTGATGCCACAGTTTTATGTTACTTTTTTATGTGTGTGTGCACTCATGCAGAGGCCAGACGGTTTAACTGGAGTTACAGGTGTTTGTGGGTTGGGAAAACAGAACTTAAGTCTTCTGGCAGAACAGCAAGTGCTCCTGACCTCTAACCATCTCTCCAGCCCCTGATGATTTCTTTATCCCTGCATTGAACATAAAACAATGAAGACTTTTCTCTGGGAAGTTTTCACTTTGTAAAAGGTTTTGTCATTTTGATATGTATGTCCTGTTCCTGACTTTTAAAACTGTTTCTCTGTCGGTTGTCCCTTTGGTCCTACTCAGAAATACACTGATGCCAGGAGTATGTGCTCAAGACAGTGAAGAAATTCTAGCTATGCTCATACGATGTGTAGAGTCTGCACATGCACGAGTAATGTGTCCCTGTGAGAGTCCTAGAGGGAAGAACACTGCACTTTTCATGAAGAGCGTGGTCATTGGTCTTTCTAACTTGATGTATTGTCTCTGCCAACATGGAACAGTGCAGCTGCCCTGGTGTACACAAGCAGGGACTGTATTAATGACCTGAAGTACTAAAATATGGTTGGGATGGTTATCAAAGCCCAAAAAATTCCAATTTCTCTCTCTCTCTCCAATTCCCAAATAGAGCAGCAAGAGCATTTAGCCCATTTTCCTGCTACAGCATGCTAATCACTGCAAAGCAAACCTAAAATTTTAAATAATTCTCTAGTCCCAACTACCTGAGTCCAAGAAGGATTCCTTCCTGGGGCAGAGAGGGGTCGGGTTTTCTTCAGAACTTCTGTCTCTGAGGGGAGGGTAAAGGACAGAAAGGGGAACTGCAGAGCCAGCCCAGAAGCCTTGGTGGACTCTGGCAGCTGTCCATAGTCTCTCCACTGATTTTTTCCGTGGTTCTTGCATGTGCACTTTGCAGACTAGGTGGATTGAGTTTGCTCCCATCTGGGAATGTGGGTTCCTTTCTCTTCCGCATGATTTCTCGTCATTTGCTGGTTGGACTCCACTGATGGCTGTGTGTGAGTCCTGTGCCTTTTAGATACCCCTCTCAAGTATGACCTTAACTAAGTTTCAAAGACCGTTTTCCTGCTGTGAACAGCCTGATACAAAGGATCAACCTTAGGAAGCGCCGTGACTCACTCATCCTAGGAGGGGTCATCGGCATCTGTACCATTCTGTTGCTGCTGTATGCATTCCACTGAAAGGATGGCCCCAGGACTCTGCCCACCGCCTTCCTGCCCTGATCGGGAGTGGGGAAATGAGGAGGAGAAAGACTGCCCTGGCCATGAACCTGCCAGCCAGACGAACTCTAAAACTGCATCCATGACTAGGACCTGGTCAGACTGAGCTGAAGCCAGTTTTTCTGTGCTATCTTTTCTAATGCACATTACTGTTTTTAATTTTAAAAACAACAACAAAAGGCTTTCAGTTGCTTATGTTTCCCTGGAGGTAAGCAGGCAGAAGCCAAGAACCTGGGCTTCAGTAACTGGAGAGGCCTGATGGCCAGTGGGCCTCATCGCTGGCCTCCTCACAGTGCCAGGCTCTCCACATCCAAAGATGGCTTTGCCTTCAGCCGTGAGACTGGATGTGAATAAGAATAATTCTTGTCCTTTTATTTAACACTTGTGATGAGAAATCAGCTGTCCTCTGCTGACACTCTGTGATCTGGATTCTACTCTGTGACCCTCACTCTTGGCAGTCAAGAACAATTCCATTTTGCACCAATTCTGTAGGATGCCGATGCTCAGCTTCATCACTGAGTTGTCTGAAACGGAGAGCGTGGTAGAAAGGGTATGTCTCAGCTGGAGCTGGAAACACATCAAGAGTGCAGGCCTGGCACTGAGGAGCTGGTTATTGCTTGTTAGTTCTTCCATTGGGTTAATATTTGCTTCTATACGATAAAATCACATTTCTGCTCTGACAGACAACAGCCAGTGTCTGTCATTACCCCTAGTGGCCCCTTGTCATGTGAAGATCAATACTAGGAACCAGGGGAGGGAACTGTGGCTCTCAGTGAGATGGCTGTCCGTGTCATTCCATCTGACCGCGTTCTACAGCCAGGAGCAAACCTGATTTCCAGGCACACCTCCCTGTAAGAATCTATTCACTCCTCATCCCTTAGGCTCCCCTGCATCCCCAGGCCATGGTCTCGTTGTTGAAGGTGCCTGTGATGCCTGTCCGCACCAGTTTATTGCTGTGGACAGTGACTGAGATGTAAATGCTTTTTAAGCTTAGCCATTCTCAGCATCTGAAATTGGTAACTTGTCTTACTAAACTAGCAGATATTTTAAAGGCCTCCAACATCTGTGTCCACTGAGAGAGAAGGCTGTGAGCCCCCACTAGAGTATCCTCTGGCACCACAGGCAATGAGAAGGAAGATATCAGGGTGTAGCCTTCACCTCCTCATGGTGTGGGAGTGTTGCCTCTGGGCAGACTTGATTACTTAGTGCTCACAGATGTCTGACATCTGATTTGGGACTGAGAGGAGAGGTTTGTCATTCTGGTGTCGAAGTGTTAGTGCATTCTGGGTATGAAAGGCATTTGATATATTTTTCTTAATTATGGGGTTTATTTTTCTAAATATGGGTTAATCAGCTTGTTGACTAGGCATGCCCTTAAAAGGAAATTAAATTTTCCACTGTGGGCCTTAAAGAATCAGGGAAGTTTGTTTGCTAAATTAAATTCTCTTTGGGAAAACAGAACTTCTCTTCTTTGACACTTTATTATCTTTGATTTTTTTTCAAAGGGCCCCAGTTGGTGGTTGTGCCTCAGCTAGACTTTATGGGACTTTGGTTGTTATATAGTGGGCATACATAAAACTTGAAGTATCCTAAATAAAGTTATTTATTTAAATATACTGCCAGTCTTTTCTACTGGTTTGATTACTTGGTTCATCCACTAAAACTGCTGAAGGAGAGTAAGCTAGGACGAGGCCTGCTGCCATGAGCACAGCACAGCACGCAGGTGGCAGTGGCTGCTCCAGGATGCTGTGCGCAGGTGAGAGGATGAATTATGTGTCTGTTTCTTCTGAAAGTAAATCAGTTCTTCCAAGGACACTGCCGGGAACACTCACTGTGGATGCTGGAGTCTGTGGTCGCTGGGGTCCGGAGTCTGACTGACCTCCAGGTGTGGTGCCCCTGAGGGGGAGGCTGCTCCTTCCCTTCCAGTATCGCTCTTTCCAGGACTCTGTGGTTGCCGAATGGAACTTCAGTTTTATGATGTTGAAATATTTTTAAGTCGTCTTTGTTTCCCCCTGTGGGCTATCCTTACATACCCAGTTTTCAGGCTCAGGAGCCGGCAGTTAAGTTCTGGTCAGAGCCTGAGGTTAGAGGGTTTTTGTTTTGTAATCCCAATGAAATGTTGCTTCTTAGGAAAGATTTGTTCTTTTTTTTTTTTTTTACATAAAACTTTTTTAAAAAATATTTTTAGTAACCACTCAAAACTTCCCACTTCACTAAAAGATATGAAAAATGGAAACAAACAGCAGAAAATTTCAAGTGTGTGTTTGTCTGGACAGTAGCTCAAATTTCAAGTGTGTGTTTGTCTGGACAGTAGCTCACTGTTTAGCCCTCCCTGGCCTTTAACTTCTGCCTCAGCCTCCTGAGACCCTTGGACTATTGCTATCTGATGCATACCACCACACCTGGCCCAACAGTACTTTTTTGTCTTGCTGTGTCCAGTGACTTAGTAAAGCTGCTCGGTCAGTTGTTACTGAGATCCACAGTGAGGTGGCTGTCCTGCAGTCCCTGGACTTGAGTGATGCCCAAGGAATCTCTGCCACCTGCATTAGTCACCTTTGATTTTCCCTTCCCCTTGCTACCAAATCTACTTTTATTGAGAATGTCTTTTTCCTTTCTTCTGGTACTCAGATCAAATGTGGGAATCTTAGAAGTTAAGAATGGAGACAGGTAAGGAAAGAGCTACCACGAGGATGCTTTTGTACCTAGAATCAGATACTTACCTGGGCACTTCCATGTTGGGTGTGGACTGTGAGTGGAAATGCTCCCTGATGCAGTGACCTTGATCTTCACCCCCGCCATTACTACCCTGTGTCATTGCTGATGTTTGGAACCCAAGGGAGTGGCGTTTAAGAATGGGTCTAACCATTCTATCTTCTGTCATTAACTAGGTAAAAGTTTTGGAAATTCACTGAGTTTTCGAACTTATAATATTAAGTTGTTGGGATAAACGGCTGTGCCCAAGCCATTTGTGGCAAAGGTGGCAGAGCAAACACACCTACTCACAAGACTGAGTGTTCTCTGTTCTCCATTTATAGTAGGGTCTACAAAAGGGTGGAGAACTTCCAACTGTGGTCCCAAACTTGGCTGTTCATTCCTATGTGTGCCTGCATGCCCCCTTCTTGGGGAGTCAGGGACAAGAGCGGGGTCTAAGCATGGTGTCAGGTGAGAAGTGGAGAAGCCGAGCCATGGCTTTAAGGGTCTTTCTCTGTCTGTCTCTCCTCTTTTTTCCTTTTGGTATCTGATCTAAAATCATAGCACCAGAATATTTGTGTCACACCCTAGTATCTCTTAGAGATGGGAGCAGAATCAGTTCTGATCACACTTTATTCTCATGGGATACAGTCTTCATGGAAAATGCCAATACCGAGTTTTTTAATCTATTTTTTCCAGATGCACTTTCTAATGTTTTGCTTTTAAAACGGCTTCTTGGAACCAATATTATTGTATTTGTACTTAATTTTTGTTCTCATCTAAATGTGCATTTTCTGACTGTATAGAAGAAACTTTGTTATATAATTTAATAAATTAAATATCTAAATATCATGCCTGTGGTTATCTGTGCTGGCGAGACGACTGTGCGCCCCATCAGACTGTCGACCACTGCTGCAGAGGACTTCTCAGGATGTCCCAAGCCTTCGAATGAACAGTCAGGTGGTCGTTTGAGCTCAAGGATGAAGGAAAGGGGCTGGTAAGATGGCTCGGCAGTCAAGAGCACCGGCTACTCTTCCAGAGGACCCAGGTTCAATTCCCAGAATGCTTGTGGTACAGACATGCATGGTAAAGCACCCGTCCACATAAATTTTTTTAATGACTATCTTTATCATAAAATGTCAGGGGTTATGACAAAATTTGTCAGAAATGTACGTCCTCACCTTCTTAAATGACTATTTGACCTTGATTCTCCAGAAAATGGAAGCACATTTCCTGCCCATGAACCAGATGGTCTTAGTTTTCTGTCTCTTTTTAAGATGATACTGTCAGGGCTGCCTATAGCTCAACAGGAGAGCACTCACTGAGCATGCAGGAAGCCCTGGCCTTTAGTCTCAGTACCACAAAAATCAACAAACAGTATAATGTGTGCAGTCCATGTAAAGTTCAGCCTTGTAAAGTGTACTCGTGGGTTTTCATGTGCCCATTAGATAGCCACAAGACGAACCAGAGGATTGCCTTGCTGCAGAGAGCAGCCCTACCCCACGCAGCAGCTTTTGTTTGCTTGTTTTGTTTTTGTTTTTTTGAGACAGGGTTTCTCTGTAGCTTTGGAGCCAGTCCTGGAACTTGCTCAGTTGACCAGGCTGGCCTTGAACTCACTCTGCTGGGATTAGAGGTGTGTACCACCACCACCTGTCCACTCTGCCCCTTTTATCTGAGCACATTGTTCTCCCTTTCTCAGCACTGCAGCCGTCCCCTCCTGACCAACATGGCTTCTAAAGTGCCACCTCTGCTTTTCCGTGGGCATCCTAACCTTATAACCCACTGTGTGCTGCGTGTGGTTGTGTGTGGGTGTGCACACGCATGCACGTGTCTTGCGCACAACCAGCACCTTCATGTAGGTAGCCTTTCCATCTCATAGATAGGAAACAGCTGGAGCTTTGCTCAGTCACCAAGTGAGTGGTGAAAGGATCTGAGTGTTGAGGGCTTGTTTTTCCTGGGCTGGGGGTGGAAGCCAGGGTTCTGTGCATTCTAGGGAGTGTTCTACCACCAAGCTATGTCCCTAGTCTTGAGGGCTCTTTGATGTCAAATCTTAACACTAGTTTTACAAAATCTTTTTAACTCTAGTTGTCTGATGAAGAAATAAGGGAAATAAAAATCATTGATTTTGCTTAAAAGTACTCATTTAGAGTTTTATAACATTATTTCAAAGACATGCCATTGTCTAAGTGCTTGCTGAGGGGCCCCGTCTGTAAGTTACATTTGGGCATGAGTACTGGCGGGCTGCAGTGGAGTCAAAGAAAGTGCTTAGGTTACTGGTTTAGATGGCAGCTTCTCCGCCCGCTGGCACCCTCTCTAGCCCTCGGTTCTTCCTGGCCAGCACCAAGGCCTTGGATGAGAAGGCAGGGATACCGTTCTGAAGGTGAGCCCTCTATAGGCTGCTGTTGCTACTTGCCCAGCCCTTTCCTCACAAAAGGCCGTGGCTCGGCCCAGGGCGCCCTGGTCTCAGAGCAAGAGAGGGCTAGAAGTAGCAAGTCTGTTGCTGGAAGCTCACTAAAGATGTCTGCCATCAGGACATTTTTCTTAGCGTGAAAGCTGGGAGAAAAACAAGTCTCCTGAGAACGGATTGAGTGGCTGAGATGTGGCCAACAGGATTCTTCACCTTGGCTACAGTTCCCCAGCTCAGCAATGCCACTCCGTGGGCAAAGCTCTTTTCTATGCTAACTCTCAGTCGAATCTAAGAGGACCAGGAGTTGAAGTTTTAACTTCCTTCTTAGAAGAATTCCCACGATGGCCGGAAGACACCCCCCCAACGTGGTCCTTCGATAACTGTTGCCCTGACATCTCTGGTTTTCTGTTTGCCTCCTTTTAGAGATGTGGCTTTTAGCAAATGGTCACATATCTTAACCCATTTATTCTGTATATTTTCAAACACCCAACCTTTTGCAGAAATGCCTTACATCTTGAGGAGCACACTACTATGGTTGGTATTTAAGCCAGTGCCAGTAGGGTAAGGTTAAAACAATTCCCTAAAAATTAGACCCTCGAGGTGAAGGTGGCATCCTAGAATATGTCCACCATCCTCTTCGTTCCCCTCTCCCCATCGTGTCTCACAAACCAGCTGCTCACTGCCTGACTGGCAGCTTCTGTGGGCGTGCCCTGCCTCCATCTAACCTCTTTGGAACCCTGCATATAGCAGCCTACCTTAGCTTCCTGAACCCCCCATGACCTGTCACGACTATTGAAGAACATTCCTAGACCCTAGCGTGTGAAGGAATGATAAAATTCCTTCCCTGGACGAGACAAAACTGTCTACCCCTCCTGTGAACTCAACAACAAACTGAGGAACAATTCTTCCAGAATTGACCCTGGGGAGCCAATGGGTTGATGAGACTTGCTTACAAAGCAGTGGGCCGGGGGTTCTGGGCAGGAGCACGCATGACCAAGCAGCCAAACTGGATGACGAGACCCAGCATGACTTCCTCTGTGGTTCCATAGATGGAGCCCTTTCCCCTAGTTCTTCCCAGCCTGTGTGCTCTACCCCGACCCTTAGGCATGTGTCGTTAGGGTAATCAGGACAGAGTTGTACATAACTGGTTAGGGGGACTGGATACTCGGATGAGAGTCCCGTGACCCCCTCCTGTGAGGGCACACAGCAGTCAGCAGGCCCAGCTGTAATAATCTTTTGCGATTAGGCCCAAAAGAACTGAAGATGGTAGCAGTTTGGCTCAGAAGATGGCCCTAGACTAGTGGTTCTCAACCTGTGGGTCGCAACCCCTTTGGGGTCGAATAACCCTTTCACAGGGGTCACCTGAGACCATCAGAAAACACAGATATTGACATTACGATTCCAACATTACGAAGTAGCAGTAAAAATAATTTTATGGTTGGGGTCACCACAACATGAGGAACTGTATGAAAGGGTCACAGCATTAGGAAGGTTGAGACCCACTGCCCTAGACAAACT